CGAGGGTCGCGTTTGCCCTATCAGCTCGGCTGGGGGGAACTGTGTGTCTGAGCGTCCTCTCTCTCCCTTTCTCCAGGGAGATCGGCGGGGTTTTTTTTTCTGGAAAGCCTGGGGAGGTGGGTTGAGTCCAGGCCTCCCTGCCTTCCCAGCGTGCTGAACAGCGAGTAATCATCAGTGCTTCAGCCGGCACTGACCTGGAGGTAAGGAGCACTGAAGCCAGACCACCGCTACAGCTCTTGTGCTTTCGCTGCTCTTCAGAGCATCTTAGCCCTTCTTAGTCACATGTAGCTTCTCAGCTTGTCCCTGGGTTGTGTCACAGAAGGAGCTGAGGCTGTAAAAAATGAAGGAAATGTCCTTTATGTACACAGTTAAATACAAGCCTGGTATTAAAACTGATAGCATGGCCTTTTAAAAGGAACTAGATGTGTAAATGTCGAGCCTCTGGTAAGATCTGGGGTATAATGTTAGAATGGCCTTTTCCCCCTCCTTTTATTATATGCATTTCTTTGAAGCAGACTGAATACCAGTTGAACTAAAATGCAAAGTACAACTTGGGTGTAGGAATACACTAATCAAAATTTGTCCTAGAGTCACTTGGCAATAGTATCATTAAGTTCTCTTTGTGGAAGGAGGTGTTCTGCTGTACCTGATGGGTACATTGGCAGCATCTCAGTGCTGTAACTGCAGATGCAGGGGAAGAACTGGGAATTAATAAGTGTGTTGGATGAGCCGCTGTCAAACGAGTCTTTGTGGCACCAGTGGCAAAGGATCTCTTGTCAGTTGATCGCACATCCTAGTTGTTTACAAAAGGCTGTTTGGAAGGGCACGTGGATTGAGATGGCTGTCAGCAACCACAGCTGAGTGCTTGTATCCAAGGGTGGATCACCTTCCCCACCGCAGTACCACAATCCTTTTATGTTGGGTAGTCCCAGAGTGCCAGTGCTGTGTGTGGAGGGTGATGGTGGAGGAGCAAGACAGCTCCAAGATTGTTGCTCTGGTCTGCTCTGAGATGGTGCTGGCTTGCTTTGAGGGAAACTTCCAGGCTTATGTCCCAGGCAGTGGCTGAAATGAAGGCTTTTACTTAAGCAGGGACTGAAGCCTGCAGTTTGTTGTACTCTGGTTTGAGATCTGAGTCCCAGGCTAGTTTAGTAACGTGGGCATTGCTTGTCTTCAGCTCCTGCTGTGTAAGGGCACTGGAGCTGCGCTGAAGTGACTGGGGTAGACAGCAATGGAGATGCCTCATGCTGACTGTGTTGTGTGCTAGCTTACGTGTAGGAGTTAATATCTGCACTGTGGAAGAGCTCAACTGATGAGGTTTGTGGCCTGCATCCAGTGTAACTCTGTCCCTTGCTGTGCTACTTCAGCGCTTTCTAAAAATCAAAAGGATAAATTTCGGGTCAGAATGTTGCAATTTCCAAGCTGACAGGCTGCAGGTGCCATGCTTCAGAAATGCTAAGGTGTTTGCCAAAGCCACTTGGACAGTAAATAGGAGTTATGTTTTGGACAGGTTTGAAAGCTGGTTTAGGGTGTATCGATGCTTGTGGGGGAAAAAACCCTCCTTAGTATGTCTGGGCCTTTACTCTTAGGAAATAGGGTTGTCAGCTATGTCTAGTTTCCAAGGCAGTTTGTAGGGAGTTGAAATAAGATGCATGACCTGGAACATCACTTCCCATCACAACTACCACAGTACATACGTGGTCTCTTTTGCTCATCCTGTGTTTGGTGGCAGTCACCTGCCAGGTTCAGGAAGCACCAATTCCCAGCCTGCACCACTAAGAAACAACCTGCCCAGGAGCAGTTTGTTCCTCAACCTAACACTTAGTTTTTACTAACTAAACAATGAAAAAGTCCGTGCCGAAGGCTTTAATTGCACAAATTATGTTTTTTTCTTAAAATCCTATCGAACTGTTTAACTGCATGTCTCAGTTAAATGTTGCATTAGTTTGGATCTTTGGGTGTTGATTTCTTGCGTTAGCTAAAACAGTAACTTGTTTCCTAAGGATTTTCAAGTACCATAGAAATAATGCAGCATAAATAACTGTTTCTAGTCATTCAGAGGTCTTCTATCTTCTCTTCAAAAACACCAAATGATCAGGTAGATGCAAGATAATCAGCTTGGAGTGTTAGTATAAAAATGAAGTTGGACATTTAGTAAATCTGACTGTGGCAAAACCAAAAAGTCTTGCATTTCCTCAGTGGGGAAATTAATATGTCTGTATTTTGAACCTATTCATCAAAGATTTGGGGGTTCTTGTCTTCTGCGTCCTGTGTGTTTTCGTTACCTAGATGCTGTGGTGTTCTATAGGCTTCTTAATGTTCAAAGCAATTCCTACGTACCATCACTTTTGTGGGGTGGGGGGGAGGCCAACTGTGAAACTGCATCCAAGGTAACCAGCTTATTTCTTTTTGCAACCCTTCTAGTGTAAACAAATCTCATTACATCATGGCAGCAGACTCAATGGAAATTGACGATGCTTTGTATAGGTAAGAATATCTGATTTTTAAGTGTTGCTCTCCACTTTTCAGTAACTCTTATATTTACATGCAGTCATGTCAAAGACAAGGCTTGAAAATGCTATCTACTGCCAGTTACTTAAGGATGTGGGTACTTCTGCCTCCTTTTCTAAGGGAAGAAAACCCAAAGTATTCAGCCGATGAAATAGAACCCAATTCTAGATAAGTGAGTGGCAAGAACTGGTTGAATTGAAGGTAGAATCCATCTTTCTGTGTAATTCTTCCTGTATTGGTCTCAGAAGAGCTGTTTTCTGACTGTTACTGGTATTTGACCAGTAAGATGAATAGGCAAATACTATGGAGTTGTACAGAGTTCGAGTATATCAGTGATGTGTACTATTTGGAAAACAAGAATAATACTTCTCCTATTTATAGTATGGGTTTCTTTCTGCCTTTATCTTGTTTCTTTGACAAAGTAGATATTCCTCTCTTTCTTGTTCCTCATTTTCTTTCACTACCTTCTTTTGCCTTTTCTACATTATGTAGTTTATCTCCTTCATAGTTTCATTCATTCCTCAGTCTTTGCCATGCTTCTTGGTCCTCATAAATACATTAGTATCTCTGTTCTCCTTCAGACTTCAGTGGGGTTTTTTTTGTAGATTTTAAAAAAAATTACTTCTTTAGTTATTGGTTTTGTTTTAATTCATTAGCTGGGAGTGCCTTAAGTTCACTTGGCATGGCAATAGTTCAGAGAGCCTGTACTGGAACAAATGGTATCCCTGGAAAAGTGTAGTGGGATGAACAGCTTCTTTTTGTATTAAAAAATAATAAAATGAATAGTTGTATGCTGAAGAAATGAGGCTTTATTTTTAATGCAGCGGAATGCTTTTGTGCCACTTTACTTTTTAGCACTTGTCTTATGAAAGTCATACTCTTCCTTAAGAGACTTACGGGGATGATATAATAACTGAAAATATTTGGACTCTTTTTTAAATGACTGGGAACTCTCGACTTCCTTTAATAGGCTCTTGAATCCATTTGTATCTTGTTTTGATCTGAATTTATCTTTGCCATAGTCGCCAGAGGTATGTTCTTGGAGACACAGCAATGCAGAAGATGGCTCAGTCCCACGTATTCCTGACTGGTATAGGTGGTCTTGGTGTGGAGATTGGTAAGTTAGGTAACATTTATTTAAGGAGACACAAGTGCATATGAACATAATATCCTAGAATACATGTAAACCTTAGTTTTAAATTCAGTAAGCCTGTCTGGAGTATCTGAGTGAAGTTGTATGTGCATCGTGCGTATGATTAACGTAGCAGATCCTGGACTTTGCTAAAGTTATCTTTTTCCTAAAAGTAAAATTTAAAATGTGCTTCCATGGGCCAGATTGCTTTACCCAAAGTCTTGTGTCTTGGGTGAAGGTTTAGGGTGGATATTCCAAACCAATTCCTTTAGACATCAGTGTCAATGAACATAACACAGAACAGCTATAGCTCGAATTATCCCCATGTAGGAAATGGGAGGGTGGGAGGTAGAACAGTGCAATTGTGTGGCAAGAGATTCCTTATTAATTTCCCTTACTCTTTATGAGCAAGCCTTGCCTTGGCTCGTTTGTATCTGGGGTGTGACCCCTTCAGTTGGCTGTAATGGTACTCTGCACCAGATGCCAGAACAGAGTCATGGGGTTTTGCAGTTTGTTGTTGTTAGTATCTCTGTAATCACAGTTGTGAGATGAACAGCTGCCAAATGACAAATGTAGAGAGCCTTTTTAACCTTGCTCATGTTATTTTGCTTTCTGTGGTGCTGTAGAATGCTTGAACCAAATGTAAAAGGGAAAAAACCTTAAGCTATGAAGTTCTTAACAGTGACATACTGTTATTGTCCACCTACATAATTATCCAATTACAGATTTGCAAGAAGCTTGCTGCAGTCATTCTATTTTTATGTTATTTGTTTTGTTTCAGCCAAAAATATCATTCTGGCTGGGGTAAAGGTATGTACAACAGTTCTGTTGTTGGGTATTCTTGGGTGGGCATGAGGAAAAGGCACCATGCTACTAGCTAGTTAATCTTAAGTTTCTGAGTCTGTTTTTCAGTAGAAGGATTGCAAAGCATTTGAGAACCTGGGGGTGAAAACTCTCAGTAATCTGGTTGTTCTAGTGATAGAGTTGCATGTTAGTGTCCACTGCACTCTGAAATAGCTCATGATATTTTAGCCAGTTGCTGATATTGAATCCTTTTGTACAAAGTGGCTTCTCCTAAATAGAGTGGTATAAACTCCAGAGCCAAACTATTGAAAATATGTTATCCTATTTTGTCATCCATCAGAATCCTTTTGTGTAGATGTTAGAATACTTGAGCGTTTTAATCCAACAACTGCTTTTGTGCTGCTGGGATTAGTTTTATTAGAGAGAAGCCTTTTAAAACTCTTTCTTCCAATACTAAAAACCTGATGAGTCCATTAATTTACAGATTGCAATTACCCCTATATCACAGTCTGGCAAAAATCATCCATGATACTTAAATGTTCTCATCACTGCCTGCTGGGAGGAACATACTTAGTGAAGTGCATATTGCAGATGTGTTTCAGTCTCTCAAACAGTAAGGGCTTTCCTGAAAAAGAGATTGGAAGATCTTGTTCTTACACATGCTATAACTAACTTCTGCAGTACTAGTTCCCCAGCATTTTATGTGGGGCTTAATCCATCCTTTTGAGTGCTGTGACCATGTACACTTCTTCCAGTAAATGTTTTTTGCCAAACTTTCTTAGGCTCTTACAGTTCATGACACCAAGCACTGCACAAAATGGGATTTGGGGATCAACTTCTTCATCCATGAAGATGATGTTACCAGTCAAAGGAACAGGTTGGTGAACTCTTTGGAGCGAGGGAGGACTGAACTTGACTAGGACTAACAGTTTCATCAGTGTCAAAAATAAAGGTTCATTGTCCAAGAGCTGCTGATACCTATCAAATACCCATTAAACCCTTTCTCTGGAGTTTCTGGTTTTGAATGTAGTGCCCAGACAGGTATTTGAGAAAGTCTAGTCTAGGTTGCGAAATGAGTTCAAGGTCACATGTCTCACTTGTATTTGTGAGCTTGTGATGTAAATTTCACAGTGGGGACAGTGTGTGTTTTTTCCTTGGGCTTTCTCAGCCACCTGTGCAAGACTAAACAACAGTCACGACACCAGGCCATCAGTGAGTTTAGTTGTAAATTGGGCAGAGCTGTTTTCCTCAGACCTGTTAGGAATTAAAGTATGAATAAAAATGTGAGTTGGTGATTGTTGCCAGAGGACTTTCTGAGGGATTTTTGTCGGGCATGTGTGGTATGAAATTCCGTATTGAAAATACAATTTTGTAGATACATAAAATATTTAAAGTTGCTGTTCTTTCAGGGCTGAGGCCACACTTCATCGTATCGCGGAACTCAATCCATATGTCCATGTAGCAGCGTCAACTGTGCCACTAGATGAAACCACAGATCTGTCTTTTCTGAAGCAGTACCAGGTATGTCACTCTTAAAACATTCATATGTGTATCTTGCTCAGAGCAAACAACTTTTTAATACAAGTAAATAAAAGGAAAAACTTTACATTTAGAGATGCTGTAAAGAAAGAAATAGATCATGTATTTTGGCTAATCAAAGTGTTGTGCTTGTGTTTGTGTTTTCCAAGGCTGAGACAGTGGTTTTGTGTTCCTAGCACTTTCTTACAACACTTACTATGGAATTTACTATGATAATAAATAGCAAAGTGGGGTTGCCATACAACTATTTTTTTGTTTGAAGGTGAAACTGACCTTTATTGCAGCTACATAGCAGAGATGTTCGACATGTATTCTGTGTGCTGTATTCTAGGCAGTAGAAGCTCAGGCTATATAATTAGAAAGATCATTTATGCATGTATGTATCTAATGAAATGTAAGCATCTCTGTAGTGGAATGAAGATGTTTGCAGTTGTTCAGTCAGCTGTCTCCTGCCTATGTGCATGGCTCAGTCTGAGCGAGGAACGTTTTACTGTGTGACTGTACACAAGCACACCAAGTTTCTGAATGTCCCAGCTGTAATAAGCCATGTTATAGCTGAATGAGCTGCAGTGTGTGTGCTTTGGAACCTGATACTATCCTAGATGTCAAAAGATTGCTTGCAGAAATTGTATGTCTGCAGTTTTATGAGCACAAATACTTGAAGTTTGTGCGGACTTCTTGGTGTGCACTGCTGGGTATCATTTATGTTTGTTTTGCTAGCTTTAATCTTAAAATTAAAGATCTGCATTCTTGATGAGATTATCCATAACTGTTTTGGTGAATATTCTAATTAGGTTTTGAGTTTCACAGCTGCAGTTAAAAAAAAAAAAAGAATGCCTGCTTTTACTCATTTTGTTTCTGGAACTTGTGGAGCAGAAACTAGTCTGTTCTAATGAGAAAACTTCCTCAAGACTGCTGTCTCTGCTATGTGTGAGGGATAGGGATCAGGACACCTGAGTAACTTACTGTTAGTGCAGCTTTTTCCATAGCCTGAAGATACTGATTGCTTTCAGTGCCTTAGATTTGTTTCTGTTCTTGTTCACAGTGTGTCATATTGACTGAAGTAAGTCTGTTGCTGCAGAAGAGGATTAATGACTTCTGTCATTCTCAGCAGCCTCCTATTAAGGTAATAGAAAAGACCCAAACACATGAATAATCTGTAGTGAGCATTCTGGACCTCCTGTGTGTTCTGTCCGAAAATGGTGAAAGCTGGTTACGAGGTTTACAGTTCTATGCAGATAGCATGTTGATGGAGCAACATCAACATATGGAGTTTTGGGAATATGGTGCTGCTGCAGCTCTGTACATGTGTCTGGTATTATCTGGATACCAGCACAGATAACCATAGCTTGGTTCTTAATTTAAAATAAAATTGTGTTAAAGAAATAGTTTTCACTGTTAAGTCGTAGTTGTTCTGAAAAAACATGCTGAGATCAAAAAATATGCTGAGGCTGAATGTAACAGTAGTAGAAATGGCAGTGTTTCACTGTGTATTGGTGTGGTTCCTGGTTCTTGTGTATGGGTTCAGAAATACTCATGCAGATTCAAAGTCTATCGTGAATGCTGTGCTATACAGTCAGTGACCTGGGTACACATGACAGGTTTCCACCACAGAACTTGAACCTGCCAGCTTTTAACAAGGTTCAGCATGAGGCATTGTTTCTTTGGCTTGTGCTCTTTAAGAGATAGTCATGATTTTTACTTTCTCTTGTAGTTCATCAGTGCAGATGTATATGGAGTATGTTCTCGTTTGTTTTGTGACTTTGGTGATGAATTTGAAGTGCTGGATACAACAGGAGAGGAGCCAAAGGAGATCTTCATTTCAAATATAACCCAAGTAAGGGATAAAAGTCATTGTGCTGCATTAATTTTTTTGTTTTATAATGACTCATTATTGGCTATTTGAAAAAGCAGAGTGTTTCGCTTCAGCAGCTTGCTAAGCAGTTTAAAGTTGGCAGTACAGCAGAGGCAAAGTTACTTTGTTCCTGTGTCTCAGTCAAAACCAGGCAGTGATAACATGCTGGCACTGCAGAGCATACTGGTGCCTCCCGGTCATTACTTACCATGTAACATCACAATATTGAATTTATTTTTTTTTCAATTGGAGAGAAAGAAAGAGAAAGAAATGAGATGTAGGGAGAAGAGGATATAGCTTTGGCATGGGAATAGGATAAGTCTTCTAAGGAAGCTCTGAAATAGGCATGAATATAGAGCCCTTGTTATGAGAAACTACACATATATGGACTATGGAAATGATCAAGGGGATTGAGAGCTTGTGTTGAAAAGAAATGTAATGGTTTATTTTAACCTACCAAAGCAGAGGCAACGAGAAGAGGATATTATTGGTAATACTTCCAGTGCAGAATGTTATGATGTCCTTTTGGTCTGTATTATTGGTTTATAAATGGAAATTACCCTAGGTCCTTTTTTCATCTCTGGAGGTACAGACAGTAACCTCACTCATCCAGCAGCAAGTCTTTTGTTCTATCTCCAGCTGAGATGTAATAATAACCAAACTAGAAGAGGTTGATAGCAAGCTGGTTTGGGCCTGGATTAAAGCTCATGATAGGATGATTTGGGTAGCCTGTTTTTTGGTACCTCGAAAAGGCAATGGATGACTTGATTGCATAAAGATTACACAGTTGAGTTACCGTGGCTTGTGCTGATTACCTGCCAAGTCAAGGAATGAGTATATATTTGTATATTTATCCTGTGGTTCCTAATCTGATACTTGAGTTTAGTTGTATCTTGCTTCCACTCTGAAGGGTAAAACTGATGAGAATTAACACTCAATACCATCAAGTGGTTGTGCTTGTCCTGTGAACAGGGTCAAGGTGCAGGACAGGGTCAAGGTGACACTCTGTCCCTAAATCAGAGAATTTTCTCTGGTCAACTCATTTGCTATTGCTCGCTGTAATTAAATTTTATGCTACTTAACTAAGTCTTTCTGATATTGGGAGTTCAGGGAGGAATGGTGGAAGACTTCACAGGCCTTGCTTGCCTGCCAGTCCACTATGTTCCACCCTGAGCTGCACCACAAGGTCTTGATGAGCTGTCTTCAGACTGCAGTGAAGTCATTGTGTGCATTGGAGGTTGACATGACATCCTGTAACAGGATGAGATGTTGCCTGAGATTCCTGCAAGTGTAAGCTTGTTTGTGATCTGCCGAGGCTGTGTCTTTCCTGTATGCTGATGTTCAGCTTTGTGAGCTTCCTAACTTTCAAGAACGAGTTTGGGGTGTACTTTCTAAGGAGATCTGACAGAAAGGAAGCATGGAGTAATAAGAACCATTCACAAGACTTTATTCTTAATGTCTGTGAAAATTTCTTTGTACAGGTAGTCTACTTTTGGTTTGGAAAAAGCAGATAAATTTGTACAATTTCAGAACAGAACAATGAATTTGCTAAGAACTAGCAAGTGCAGTTTGCTAACAGGCTGAGAATTGTAAATGTGAAAGTGAGAGAGTTTGTTTTATGCAAACACTATTAATTTGAAAATAATAGGACTGAAAAAGTTGTCATAGGTAGCTCTCTTGCTATGGCAACATGCAATACTGAAAGTATTAGAAGCTGCAGTTTCAGTAGACAAAAAGCTATGTGTCTACAATAAAACATGACCCCTTTGCATAAGACACTTTCCTCCTTGATGACTTTGCCATTTTTTATTTCAGTCAAATCCTGGTATTGTCACTTGCCTTGAAAATCATCCACACAGGCTTGAAACAGGACAGTTTTTAACCTTTCGGGAAGTTAATGGAATGTCCTGTTTAAATGGTTCCACACACCAAATAACAGGTAAACTTCTGCTGTTTCATTTGCAAGGTATTTTTCGGTCTGGTTTAGCTCACTGTAGTGTTAGTTACTGTAGCCAGAGGAGTGCTAGATTATGAAGACCTGCAGTGAGCTTGCACAAAAAGAATTGCTTTTTGGTGTAAAGGTCTTCCTAGTGTTGCATTGACTCCATTTTCATTTAGTGAAGTCTTTTCTAACTCCTTTCCTTAAGGAGCCCATGGAAATGCTCACCTAGTGGAATCTAGTTGACAGCCTCAGAGGTTATCATCATTCATTTGCTGATGAAACTGTTTTGGTTTTTGGAAGGTCCCATAACACCTGTGCTTCTCTCATGGTTTTGGACTCCACTTTGGGTGTCACTGTTTGCCTTGCAGCTCTTCTGGGTGACAGTTTAAGTGTACAGGGATACATTGACATCACCCTCTTTCTAAGCATGATTTTGAAATTATTTTGATGATTTTTGTCTACCCTGCTTTGTTCTGCTTCACGCATGTCTCAAGGCATACTACTTGGTTCCTCTTGGATGCTGGGCTCCCAGTGCCCAGATTTGAATGCCTGTTTGTTTGGAGCAGAAGAGAGCACGAGCGGGTGGGGGTTGTTTGTTTTTAACTATTTTGCAGTCTGAGAAATAAAAACAGTACTCTTGAAACATGTGGTTGAATCTGGACCCTTGTGTTTTTGCTGATGCTGTGGTCAGTTCCTTCCTCTTAGTCATGGCCTAGATTTTGGCTTCAGTTTTCCACAAATTAACAATTCTTGTGTCTTTTTGCTGTGTCTGTTGCTTCACATGTATGAGAGGGAATATGTGAAGAAATGCTCCAGCTGCCCTTTTTGACTGCCTGTTGTTCTAGTCACAGGGTGATTTGAGCAGTGTACTGGACACTGCTGTGCACAGTCTAAACAAAACTGAGAGTGATTTCATTTTTCTTCCAGAGCTGTGGTCATCAGAATTCTTGTTAAATCTGCTGCCACTTAAAAAAGCTCATTTCATAACAGACCATGTGAAACTAATGCTTTAACCCAGAAACTGGCAGAGGGACAATCCTGTTAGGAGGATCAGCTGTGTTTATGCTTTCAAAGCAAGGTTTCACACTACAAAATTACAGCATCAAAAGCATTGGCAAAACCTCACTTCATTGTGTAGAGAACTGTAGCACCCAATGACACTTTTAATTATCAGTCACTGTTTATTCTCTTCTGTTTTCAGTGGTGTCCCCTTACTCCTTCAGCATTGGTGATACATCAGATATGGAGCCTTACTTACACGGAGGCATAGCTGTGCAAGTGAAGACACCTAAGATCTTCTACTTTGTAAGTGTGCACTTTACACAACCAGGTTCTTGAGCATTAATAATCTGAGCACTGGAAGCAGAGTTCAGCAGATACATGATCTTGTTACCAGCAGTTTGGTTATCACAAATTTTATTGGGTAAGAATAGTGATACCAATTTACTAAACCACAGAGAACAGGAAATACTTCAAAGTTACCTGCCAGTGTAGACAAAAAAAAATAGTTACAGGCAGACAGGCAGCTTATCCCTGTACTTCTGGGGACTCCATAAAGGTCTGTGAGTATGTGATTTCTTGGTGGCCCTCTGAGAAGAGACGGTTGGATGAGTTTGTGGAAGAGGGGCTGCAAGACACATGGTGCTGTGTGCCTTTATGGGTCCACAGGCACTAGATCCTGACTGCTCTCAGGCATTCTAAAAAGCTGGGAGTGAGGACCAGCTGCTTTTGATGTGAGAATGCACAGGACAGTTTCTTGACTCTGTAAAGCAGTAGCTTTCTGTTCTTCCTGAGTGGGGAAGTTCTGTAAGCAACAACCAGTTGCCTATAAAAGCTCTTGTACCTCAGAAGTTTCATAGGCTCGTAGAATATCGTGTTGGAAAGGACCCACAAGGATCATGGAATCCAGCTCCTGGCTCTGTACAGAAAAAAACCAAAAATCACACCTGTTTAAAGATGAGTCTTGCCATTAGGATGCAAAACATCTCATTGATCTTTTTTGCTAGAACTTGCAGCAGATGATGATTTTAAGCATCTTTTATGGCATTAATAGTGACAAGAGTAATAGCAATGCTAGTAAGAAAGGATATTTAGTTCTTACATTCTCTAGAAAGTATTGTTTTGTCAGGTAGCAGTTGTCTTGACCCTAAGTGGTGTGTTGTTGTCACCAATTCTCTTTTTCCAGGAACGGTTGGAGAAGCAGATAACAAATCCATTATGCCTTGTTGCAGATTTTAGCAAGCATGAGGTAATTAGCATGTGGGGATTTGGGCATAAATCTGCAGTTTTATGTTTAGAATAATATAATATCCTAATTATTCTGTAGTAGTTAAATCTGTTTTTAAAGTGTGAAATAAGACTGAATTAGCAGTTTGTGTAGTCACACAGAATATGCATTATGGTTTATATCACCATAGAGGCTTGTTATCCACGATTTGCACCAAATATATTGTACATGCACAGCTCAGCCACCTCTGCTGTTTAAAATCTCAGTTTTTGAAGTCTTTAATTCAGAGGTGTGGAAATTTTGCAAGTGGCACAATGATTTTTTTCCCTGTAACAGTATTTGGTTGATAAAAATCACATTGGGTTAATTGTAAAAGGTTGGTTGGAAACGAGTTAATAGTGTACCAAAACTTTTTTATTTCTTTGAAAAAATCACATAGAGGTATTTTTAAGATCTGAGAAGAAGGTAGCAGTATTTTCCTCTTAACACAATTTTAGTTAATTATTATGGGCATGAAAGGCATGTAAGTCTCCAGCTTATTAAAATCTTAAACTAAAAGATGTTGATGTAATGATTTTTTTGTTTGTTTGATAATGTATATTCTGACATACCTGTTAAGATTTTCTACTTCTAACCCTTAATCCTGGGCTTTGTTATTGATGTTTGGCAAAATGCAGTGCCTTAGGTCTAGTTAAAAGAAGATTACTGTATTTTCCAATTTCAGCACGAAATGTTTTTGGGGACTCTTCAGCTGGACTTAGGTGAAGTGAGTGCTGAATGTATGTGAAGGGTATTGCATTACCACTGAGTAATATTTTTTGTGAAAACACTACTGTAAGGTATTTCAAATTCACTTTTTAGTGCTATTTAAAAACCTTTTTTGAGTGTTATGGTTGAGACAAGGAAGAGACATGATAACAGAAGAGTTCAAATAGTTGCTTTTATTTCCTTCATTTTTCTCTGGTTTGACACTGATCAACAGCTATTGTTGTCTTAACAGGCACCTTTGCAGATCCATGTTGCCATGCTTGCCTTGAACCACTTCCAGGAGAACTTTGGTCGGGGACCGAACATTGGGTAATGCAGCAGTTTTGTGTTTGCTAGGCCTTGGCTCAGGTCTCTCCTTTTATCATAGTTACTGGTTTGAGGTGCAGTAGGGTACTTTGCTGCTGAACAGAACACATAGAAATGAAAAGTTGAAATCTAAATGAAAATGTTACCTACTGCATGTCTCGTGTAACACAGCTTTCCGAGTACAACAGTGACATTTTCTGGGCCCAGGTAGACAGAAAATGCTTTCTGGAGGAAGACCTTTTCTATTCCAGTTTTTTCACATTGTGGGGTTAATACAGAAAAGTTGTTTCAGTGATCCTGAATAAAGTGATCTGAAGGATTTGGTTTTCATTTTCAGTGTTTTTTGTTCAGCTGGTGTTCTTGATGTGCATAATTTTGAGTTAATGAGACAAAACTACTGGAAAAGTAGGAATCTTAAGACTGTACTTGCACATGGGCTTTCCTACTGGGACTCCAGTTCTTGAGCTACCCCTAACATTTAGGAGTACGTCTTTAATACTCACTGTTAAAGCCAGTGTACATTTTCAAACTTTCCTGCTGTATCTATTGCTTTTTTCCTCTGTTGATTGTGTTTCTAGAAGGACTTGGGAATGTTTAAGTAATCATTATTGTTTCTACCCTGGTGTCCAGGTGCCTTCAGGATGCTGAGGAAATGCTGAAAATAGCCATGTCTATAAGTGAAACACTGGAAAACAAAGTAAGGAATCATTGTCATTATGAGTCATTTTTTTTATGTGCTCATTTACTTGCCCAAAGGTCATGCTTTAGTTGTCAGTCCTTGTTCTGGTCTTTGTATCCATCTTTGTATGGATCTGCTGGCTTTCTGAAGACCGTGGGAAACAGAATGGTCTTTCAGCATGGGAACTGTATGTTCACCTGACATGAAGGCTGAATCCTGTGGCTATGTGAATCCAGTTTTTAGACAAATGCATAGGACAAATACAGAGTATATGGTGGATCTGTCTTGGCTGGAAAATTTTTTGCTAGTCAGAATTAAATAATTTGTCTTTTACTGAAGAAAAATAATCTATGAAACTGTAGAGCACTGACTTGCTCATTGAGGGGATAAATCTGTTGTTATGGCTTATTTTTCAGCCTCGGGTGAATGGAGATGTGGTGAAATGGCTGTCTAGGACTGCTCAGGGATTTCTACCTCCTCTGGCTGCAGCAGTGGGTGGTGTTGCTAGCCAGGAAGTCTTGAAAGCAGTAACAGGAAAATTTTCTCCATTGCAGCAGTGGGTAAGGCTGTCTTTGGTTTTGGGTGTTTGTTTTGACATGTTGTGAATGGATAGTTGTATGTAAATGCTGTATGTAAAATAACCTGAACAACTTCTGTAACAGGGAAATAAAAAGACTTGAGCCTGAATTTAGAAAAGAATAAAGTGGTTTTATGTGTACAATAGAAGTTCAGCCACTTTTAGTTAAAATTTTGGTTTTGGAGTTCAGACAGCACATTGTGTTTTCACACAAGCAAAATGTAAATGTCAGAGTACAGTTAGATTTAAAAACTTTACAGTCTTCACAGTTACTTCCTGAGAGGTCATCTGCCTGTCAGAACCCAAAAACTTGCAGCTCACTTGTTTCAGTGAGCATTTTTTCCCTCTGTGTCCAGGTGCTTTTTCCTGTCCACTAAAATTGCAAAGTGAACTGTAGGGTACTGAATGCCGTATAGTCTTCCACTGACAGTAAAAACTTAGTGCTTCTGAACTTCTAGACTCTGTTGTTCACAGAAAGTATTTTTTTCAAATTAAAATAACATGAATGTTTTTCACAGGCTTTTATTGCTTGGGGTTTTTTTACAGCTCTACATAGATGTATTAGACATTGTGACACCTCTAGAGAAGATGGGCTCTGAAGAATTTGTCCCACGGTAAATATAACTACAAACTGCTGACTTATGTACTGATCAAATCTGTGTCTCAAGCAGGCACAGATGACATCTTTTAAGGTTAATTCAGTGCCATTTGCTTGAGGGACAGGTTTGGGGTAAAGAATGTGTGTCCTATTTGAGCATGGGAGGAACAGGATTTATAGAGGACTCAGTCTGACTTTCTTACTTACGTCAAACTGCGTTTGGCATTGGTGATACTACTGTGATACGTGGAGGCTTACTAGTCTTCTCCTTTTGTCTCCTGTGCCTGCATAGGGGAGATAGGTATGATGCCTTGAGGGCTTGTATTGGAGACTCTCTGTGCCAGAAGCTCCATGATTTGAATGTTTTCTTGGTGAGTATGACTGACACTGTTACATTTTTTGCAAATGCTTTGTTGATACAGTTAATGTCCGCTGCCTTCAAAATAATGAGATGTGTGCCACTGCAGAGTAAGTGGTCCAAAATTGCAGTGGGGCTTGTCTATTTTACTTGTCTTCTTAGTTTTCATTTATGTTTCTGACTCTATGAATGTAATTTTCTTTAGGTTGGCTGTGGAGCAATAGGCTGTGAAATGCTAAAAAACTTTGCACTTCTTGGTGTTGGTACAGGGCAAGACAAAGGATTGGTAAGTCACTGTTAACCTCACTTTTCTTATTAAGAAGTAATATAACAAGGATTAATTAAATAATTGGACTACTAAAAGTGTTAAGTCTTATTTCAGGTTTGTCTCTGCACAGAGGGTATGATGGCCTCAGCATAGAGTGGAAGAAGTGTGCAATTAGAAGCAGAACATACTTGGAGCAGTCTTGTTGTATTTTGCCTTTAAAACAAAATTTAATCAGTCAGTACAGCTGTGTTGGCCACAGCTGATGCAAACAGCAGTGCTTTGTTTTGACAAGTGTCTGTAGAGATTTCATTGAGATGATTGCTCAGTGCTGCACTTAAATTGTAACTTCAGCTGTTGCTTTTGCCCCTTCTGACTTAGGTTACAATTACAGATCCAGACTTGATAGAGAAATCCAACCTGAACAGGCAGTTTCTTTTTCGACCTCATCACATACAGGTAAGCTTTCATGTTCAATAGAATTTCTGGACTATTGTTGTGTTTCTCTGTCCTGTGTCCCCACAGATTACTCAACCTGTGATTGTCTGTACTTCTGTCCAGAAAAGACTTAAAGTCAGTAATGAAACCTATTTTTTTAAATACAATGCTTAGAACTGCAATGGCATCCCACTTATCACTACTATCAGTTGAGCAAAATCTTAATTTGTACTGGTGTCTTTGACTAACCAAATATCCCAAACTTGACAATTGGATGAGGAGTGCTGTGTTGCATAAGCAGCTGCCATGGGGTAATATCTCAGAAATGCTTTACCACTGAAATTTGGGGAGAATAAAGCAAAACAATGATAAATAGACAATGCTGGCGGAAGTGTTCTCAGTAGAGCTCAATAGTCCTACTGCCAATGGGACTTGACCAAAGTTGCTGTCTTCTGAGTTAATTCTGTCTTCATTAAGCTGATAAACAGCTTTGAAAAAGCCCATGTGCATTCAGTAAATGCGTGACACAGAAGCTGTTAATTCCTTAGAAGCAGAGACAAAATCCCTGTACTGGCAAACACAGCACAAAGTAAAAAAGGTGGCTCAAGTCTTGACAGCAATGTGAAAAAAGGTTTCCCCTGCCCAAAACCCAGCAGTTGGATTTTTCTGCCTCCTGTTTATGTGTAGCAAATATGGGAACAGATTACACTTTGGATGGATAGGTAAATGAAAGTTGGACTCTGAAAGCTTTCAGAGGCCACACTGTCTTGAGTGCTGATCCTAGGTAATTGATTGTAGTATGGCTAGAAGTGTCGGGTAGGTTAGGAACTCTATTTCAGTTTAGCTTCTGAAAGTGGCTTTGTATGGAATACCTTGCAGTAATGTGATTATTCATAGGTGTTTGATGTCTGTACTACATAGATACAGTCACAGCTACTAATGGGTTTATCCTCTAACAGTCATAAACTGCTCCTTCCTTAAGGCATTTTGAGAGTATGAGAGGCAGCATGTGGCAGTTTCAGTTACTTGATAAACTTCTGCACCATGTAAGCACTTTCACCTTGTGGTCTCTGACACACTACTTTAAATAAAACTAGAATTAAAACTAGATTAATAAGATATTTATCAGGGAGTTATATGATTGAAGAGTTTCCTTTGCTGTATGTTTTGCATACTAGCATTTCTGTCAGTGAATTGTTGTCTGATCAGCAAATGAAGTTGATACTTCTGTGTCCCACGTGGTTTTTATCTGAATATTGTTGAGATATGTATACACGTGTATATATGTGTGTTTATACTTTCAGAAACCTAAGAGCTATACTGCAGCAGAAGCAACTCTGAACATCAATCCTTATGTGAAGATTGACTCAGATATTAATAAAGTCTGTCCAGCCACTGAGAACACTTACAGTGATGAATTCTACACCAAGCAAGATGTGATTGTAACGGCATTGGACAATGTTGAAGCAAGGAGATACATTGATAGGTAGAGTGTGGAAAGGAAGCAAGGGCTGCTTTTCACATTCTGTGTGAGCTCTGCTTTTCTGTTCTTAATCTTCCGGATCTGCAACTGCTTATAAGATCTGATGGCAAATTGTTCAGGTTTACTTTATTCCTTTATAGGGATGCAGGCAGAGGGGAGGAAGGAGTTTGTACTTGTGGAAACCAGTTCTGCTGTTGTGTGGCTGCTGCTGTTCACATAGCGGAGTGCCTTAGAGGGAGTTACTGAAAATGAATAGCTGTTGAGGTCTGATGAGGGGGAGAATACTGTGGCAGTCTTAAGGTTGAATTATTTATGTATAAAAATATGTACTTAAATATAAAAGTAGAGATGTTTACATTTAGAAGAATTTCTAATGCTTGTAATCCACATAGGCTTGGGTTTGTGCTGCCCTGATCTAACTTGAACAGCTCTTCCTACTTTATCTCTTCTTTTCCCAAGTTTGGCTTAAGTTTTCCACTCTTATCAAAGTGCTTAGAGACAACTCTGGTTACACTCCAGTAATGTCTGCAAGGCAAGAATGTAGTGATTATGCTGTATTCTCATAGTCTGTCTTTCCATGTCAGTCGTTGTGTAGCAAACCTGCGTCCTCTTATAGACTCTGGAACTATGGGAACAAAAGGACACACAGAAGTTATTGTGCCCCATCTGACGGAGTCCTATAATAGTCATGTAAGTGTTTTAAGACCATTTCTCACCTTCTGTAGCTAGTCCAAGAATGCCCTCTGAGTCTTTAATCATTTACATGTTTGTCTAAAATAAGTGACCTATTTGAGCTGCTGAAAAACAGTACTGTTAGGGAGTAATTATTTCCTTGGTTTCTGAAGAAAAGCTCAGTTTGAGCAGTGCTTTACAAGCATACATAGCAGTTGTATTTGAATGGCAAAGGAGAAATGAACCTTCAAACTTGCAGTCTCCCTCTGTTTAAGCTCCTGTGAAATTGTCTTTACAAGGTAGAAATTCACTGGTTGAGAAGATCATGAAATGGTGCCATGTGGACACAGAGACAGGATTTTGAGCATCCTGTCTTGCTAGGGTCCATAAACAAGTCTTCCTGGCTTTGAGTGAAAGGGTGTATTCCATGTTGAGAGTGTATGTGAATGCAAACTGCACATCTTGGAAGAGCTGGCTGGCAATTTCACCTGTTTCAGAGTTTAGTTTTGCTTTCTACGGTTGAGTTTAGATGTTTCTTCATAAACACTAGCATCACTTCCTGTTTATAAAACAATTGCTAGGGTCCATAAACAAGTCTTCCTGGCTTTGAGTGAAAGGGTGTATTCCATGTTGAGAGTGTATGTGAATGCAAACTGCACATCTTGGAAGAGCTGGCTGGCAATTTCACCTGTTTCAGAGTTTAGTTTTGCTTTCTACGGTTGAGTTTAGATGTTTCTTCATAAACACTAGCATCACTTCCTGTTTATAAAACAAATTTCTAAGCATAAATAAGCCACTATGTATTTTATCACTTCTTTTCTTGTTTATAAAACAGATTTCTAAGCATAAATAAGCCACTATGTATTTTATAGCATCACTTCTTGTTTATAAAACAGATTTCTAAGCATAAATAAGCCACTATGTATTTTACAACAGCAGAGTTTTAACCTCATATAGTCTAGAAGTTCTTGGTGCTATTATTAGCAATGAATTTTATAAGCCTGGACTTACATGCAACCCCCCTGAATTACAGCGGGATCCTCCAGAAGAAGAAATACCATTTTGCACCTTGAAGTCCTTCCCAGCTGCCATTGAGCATACAATACAGTGGGCAAGAGATAAGGTAATGGAATAAGCTTATTGGAACACAGCCTAACTTAATGTGTATTTGGAAAGGTGGGGGATCTGATATACTACTTGCAACATTCTGTATTTGTTCTTTTTATTTTATAGTTTGAAAGTTCATTTTCTCACAAGCCTTCATTGTTTAACAAATTCTGGCAAACCTATCCGTCGGCAGAGGAAGTTTTACAGGTATGGGAATGTTACCAGGGTAAAATACAGGGTTTAAACTAGTGCTTTATGGATTTTGTTTCTATTTAAATTCAGTGAGATTTGGGTTAGTTTCTGACTTCTTTCAGAAAACCTGAAGACTTACTTGACCAAGTCATTAGCTGATCGCCATTTGAACAGTATTTCTGCTGTGCCTCGTAATTAAAATCTTCCATAGCTCATGTGCTCTGTACATGATATAGTCAGAAAGACTGAGGCACTGCTAGCATGTGGTTAGTATATGTCACACTGATGTGTAACTAGCTGGGAAAAATGAAAGGAAGACTGAGTTTGAAGTGAATTCAACTATGTAATAAATCAGATTCAGTTGTTTACTGTATTTTTCCTGTGAGTCTGTAGTGGCCTGTGGTCCATAGGGGCTGGGTGGGAGTAAATCAAGTGGACCACAGCACCTGGGAAAAAACCCAGTGGAGAGGATCACATAAAGGATAATATTTCACAAGTGACTCTCTGTTTCTTTTTTGCCTATGGATTGCCAAAAACATTTACTGTTCAACTAGTTTGGAAGGAATCTTGTCTGGTTTAATATTTTCATGTTTCTTTATCTAGAGAATAAAATCAGGAGAGAGCTTAGAAGGCTGTTTTCATGTTATTAAAACACTCAGTAGAAGACCCCGAAGTTGGACTCAATGTGTGGAACTAGCAAGAGTAAAATTTGAGAAGTATTTTAGCCATAAGGTAGGTAAGACCTGTAATGAGGTGGCACTAGACTGATGAGGATTTTAGAAAACTCAGTAGCCCTAATACTTAGGTGTCCAAGTCTCTCATGCACTCACTTCCATCTCTTCATAAATAACAAACTGTACTTGAAACTTTAAAATGCTGCATCCCTTTCTACTGTAGCACTTCTAGGTCTGGTGTATTAACTCACTTCTAGTAGCTCTGTTCAGTAGTCTCCATGCAGTTTTCTTGGCATTTTTCCAGCTTACTGAGCACTGTTTCCCCCAAAGTAGCAGGATTATCAGATGTCTTTTACTCAAGGACAGTAGGTTTTTGTTTCCTGCACTAAACTTTTGTTACTGAACTCATCCTCATAACACTGATTTTATCAAAGATTGTCTGAAAATAAGAGCCAGTCATGCTAAGAATCTGGTCCACAGTGTTGCTTAAAGTATGTGTGTAGTTTTGTAGGAAAGATGTGATCATGATGCTGTGTATTAATAAACATAGCTGTGCATATGGAAGCCCCTGGTAGTAGTTGTCACATTAAGAAAACATTGCATTCCTGATTGTGAATCCATGTGCAAGAATCCTAAAGTGACAATGGGGTGGGGAGGAATGCTTTGCTTCCTGGATTAAGTATCTTGCTGCTTGGACTTTGTACAGATGAGGTGACTTTGTCATCTTTGTTCTGTGAATGAATGGGCAAGTCACTCTGTCTAGTAGTGCCTGTCTTTAAGCTGTCCATCTTGACACAGTCATCTTAAGATTTTCCTACCCCTTTAACTTACTTCAGCTATATGTATTGAGATTTCACATTGTTTCTAAAAAGAAGGCTTGATTTAGTGTGGTCATGCCAATTTGTATACCACAAATTACTAAAGCTGCTCTGACTTTTCCTCTAGGCTCTTCAACTCCTTCATTCATTTCCCCTTGATACACGATTAAAAGATGGAAGTAAGTAGAAATGCCCCTTTGTGCCTGTTCTGAATTCATGGCATACATAATTTGTTGCTGTTCCTGGTTCCTTAGGATTTCATCTTAAGTCTGTCTTCTCACCAGGTCTGTTTTGGCAATCACCAAAGAGGCCACCTTTCCCAGTGAAGTTTGAATTTAATGATCCTTTGTAAGTATGGTACTACCACAGATACATTTTGTAGCATCCTATAAAACTAACCCTACAGCAGTAAGTGCAAGGCAGTGGCTTTATAGCACTAGAAGTTGGACTGGTATTGATAGGTGTCAGTGGATAGTCTTGCAGATCTGTGGCAGATTGGTGAGCTGTCTCATACTGTCACTGCAGATAAATTAACTTTCACTGACATAGGATTGGAGGGTGCTGTGACAAGTTCTGGCAACATCTAATGTGAAATGTCTTAGAACGACCCATTTCATGTCTTGTGTGACTACAGAATTACTGAGTTGTTGCTGTCATACCTCCCTGCCTCCCATTATAGAATCATCAAGGTTGGAGGAAACCTCTAAGATTATTGAATCCAACCATTAACCTGCCACTCTGCTGTAACCCCTAATCCCTAAACTATATCTTCCATCATCAGATCCAGACACCTCTTAAACACTTCCAGGGATGGTGACTCCACCACCTCCCTGGGCAATCTATTCCAGTGCCTGACCACCATTCCCTCTAGTCCTCTCACTGCAGGCATGGCAGAAGAGACCATCCCCCACCTCTCTACAGTCCCCTGTCAGGTAGTTGTAGAGAGCAGTGAGGTCATTCCTGAGCTGCCTCTTCTCAAGGCTAAACAAACCAAATTCTCTTGGCTGTTCCTCATACAACATATGTTCTAGACCTTCTATGAGTCTCGTTGCCCTTTGCTGGACTCACTCTTGATACAGGCCAAGATGCCATTGGTCTTCTTGGCCACCTGTGCACAGTGTTGGCTCATACTGAGCCTCTGTCAGCCAGGACTTCCAAGTCCCTTTCTGACAAACAACACTCAAGCCACTCCTCCCCCAGCCTGTAGCACCGAATGGGGTTGTGTGTCCCAAGTGCAGGTCCTGGCCCTTCACACTATTGAACCTCATGCAGTTGTTCTCAGCCCAATGACCAAGTCCATCCAGGTCTCCCTGTAGAGTTTTCCTACCCTCAGGCAGATCAACACTCCCACCCAGCTTAGTGTTTGCGAATTTGTTGGGATGCACTCAACTCCACATTCAAATCATCAATAAAGATGGTAAACAGGACTGGCCCCAATACTGAGCCCCAGGGAACATCACTAGTGACCAGCCACTAATTGGATTTAGGTCCATTAATCACAACTCTCTGGGCCCAGCCATCTGGACAGTTCTTTACCCATCGAAGATTCCATCCATCCAAGCCATGAGCAGCCAATTTTTCTAGAAGTATGCTGTGGGAGACAGTGTCAAATGCCTTACTGAAATCCAGATAGATGTTTTCATTGCCCCACATCATGAAATGCAAGATGTGCCAAATTAAATTGACTGCCTAAAATGACCTAGTGGACAGACCCCTTTTCTTCTTCATCAAAATTTGGGTCTGATCTAGATGGCTTGGGTAGCACAGATAGTTTAAAAAATTGATGTGGCTGAAGGATTGAAAAGCCTTTATGTGCTGCATATCTACAGCTGCTTTGAGAAACTGTCTGGATTGCTGTTTTTAGTTCAAGTGAAAACTGAGATCATGGTAAATACAAAAGTATTTCTGAGGTGAAGCCTTTTATTATCATATTGATGTCATGTGAACATTCGTAGTTGTTTTCTTGACTGCAAAGGTTAAGGAAATATGGTTTTCATTAAATAACTATTCACTCATCAAAGTTTGCTTAGTTTTGGGGACAACTTCTGGGTCACTGAAAATGTGCCATCTGTTTTGAACTGTGTGCACTGAAGGATGGAAATTCTGTTTTCTCTATGTGTATATACTCAAGATCTCTTTGAATATGATAACAAACCTTTGGGCAACTGAAGTACAAAAAAACAACCAACAAAAAATAATTAACTTTCTCTTTTCTTTAGGCACTATGGTTTCATTGTGAGCGCAGCAAAACTCATTGCAACAGTGTACTGTGTTCCTTTCACAGAAAAGGTAATCCATGCTGTAACAGTGTTCCCAATGCATAACATGGATGTACATGTTCAGTTTTGGCCCAATGTCCAGTTGCCATTTCTTTCCAAGAACTGATTAAAGTAATTCTTCAAGTAATCTTATCCTTCAGCACTGGCTGTTCAGCAATTGATTACACTTAGTTGTCTTTATTTAAATCCCTAACTCAGAGAAGAAATGAGTAGTGTGCTGGATATTTTTTCAGTAAGCACTGAACTTGGGAATTCTTACTTTGATGCATTTATTTCCAGTGCAGTATAACTACTGATCTAAAAGAAGATGTCTTAAGGCATTTTTTTAAGATGAAGTGTCTTAGCTGTAGTCTGGGGGGTTTATATGTTACTACTCACAGTCTCTCTGTTGCTTACCCATTGTTTTTCTTGTTACCCTTTTTCTTTTCTAATTGGATCTTCCTGTAAGTCACATCTACAGTTCAGTTTTCAAGTGCTAGGCACTTGGCACCACTCTGGTTCGTTGTGGCAATTGAAATGTCACTTGTTGTTTCAGTGGTGGTGTTTGACTGAAACATCATTGAATATTTCTGAGATTCCTTGGGTTTGATATTCTTTGAAATGCTCATGGATATAGAACCTTTTTGCAGGGGTCTTTTTGAGCTGATGTGAATTTAAATTGTTTTTCTTCAAAACCGTAACAGGACCTGTCAGAGGAAACTATTTTGAGGATTATTTCAGCTGTGAAGCTACCAGAGTTCAGACCTTCAAACAAAGTAAGTGATATTTAATTTAAAGAAAAAAATAAAATATTCCACAAGCAGTGTCCCACATCTCCAGCAACTCCTTTCATTGATGATAATGAGAAATAAACAGATCAGAATGTGTTTGGGGGGCATAAAGAGTGTGGCATACAGGACTTTAACTTAGTAGAGCTGAGGTATCTATGTACCAGATGCTAAATGGAAGATGTGGAGGGTGTTTTACCTTTTGCAAACGATTTCTTGTAGCATTGTTTTCCATGCATGAATGTGATTGTAAATCTGCAAGGTTTTTTTTTAAGTTTACATTAGTCCATACTATTTTAATAAGAGTAGTAAAATTTTATTCATAAGCAACTTTAAAGTAATCCAAGATGACTGTCAATTTGTTATTTCTTTCTAATTAATATAAAGGAAGTGTCATTACTTTTATGTTTATTTTTGAAGTGTTAAATGCAAAACAGCTTAAGTGTTACTGTACAGTGGCTAGCATTTGTCATCATTTAAAGGAGCAAATATTCCAGAGTGTTCTCATATTTTCCTGCCCAGTGTTAACACTTGTCTCATGAATGCTTACCTTGTGAGTACAAACTGCTGTTTTGACTTTGAATTGCAAATTGGTTGAGGTTGGAAGGGACCCCTGGAGACCACGTAGTTCAATCCCCCTTGCTCAAGCAGGGGCAGCTAGAGCAGGTCACTGAGGACTGTATCCCATTGGGTTTTGAATATCTCTGAGAACTTGGACTCCACAGCCTCTCTCTGCTACTTGTGTCAGTGTTAAACTATCCTCACGGTTTTGGTTGGAGTGGTTTTGTTTGTTTGTTTTTCTTTAAAGTATTTTTGGATGTTTCTTAGGGAATTTTATATGCTTCAGTTTGTGCCTATACCTCCTTGTGCTCTCATTGGACACCAGTGAAAAAGAGTTTGGCTCTACTCTCTGTACTTTTGCCCCATCAGATATTTATACACATTGATAAGCTTCCACTTCTCCATGCTGAACTACCCCAGCTCTCTCAGCTTGTATGAGAGATATTCCAGTCCTTTAATGATCTTTGTGGCCCTTGGCTGGACTTAGTCTAGTAAGTCTGTCTCTTGAATTGTGGAGGAAAGACTGCAGGGAAGACAGGAAATGTAGTGCACTTGACACTTGTGTTGTATGAAGTTCATGTATCTCATTAATTAAGCCCTGTGCACACCTGCAGGTTGTACAGACTGATGAAACTGCAAGAAAACCAGATCATATTCCAGTCAGCAGTGAGGATGAAAGAAATGCTATTTTCCAGCTGGAGAAGTCTATACTATCCAATGAAGCTCTGGAAAGTGAGTAGTGCAAACTGGCTTCATGGTTTAGTAACGTCTTGCATTTGCACTGCCAGAGGTGACATTCAGGTCTTTGGATAACGCAGTTCTGTAAATCTGCAAGAAGCAGAGAGCTGATATATAGAGCTTTCTGGAGTGCCATGCAGATATCTGTCCTATTGCTTGACATTGCTTCTGTATTTCTCTGGGCTCTCCATTACACTTGCATGTAATGACAACACTGATGGCAGTGAGCAGGCAGCACCAGGGAATTGAACTCTAAGTGGGGAGAGAGTGCTGGCTAGATCTCAGATGGACTGAAAGTGATTCTGATGTGAGAAGACTGAGAGTTACTACTTCTAGCTGTCAATCTGAAATTACCCTAAATTGTAAAGTCTGTTAAGAGTTTTCCTCAGTGTCTTGTAGATGTGTTACAGTGACAATGCTCAGATCTCATTTTTGTGCCTGGCCACATGAAGAGGTCACTGGACAGCAACTGCATGCAAACTTTTATAGCCCATGAATACAGGGGAGAAAGATCAGCTTTTGTCTAGCCCATCCCATGGAGTGTCACCCCAAAACTCTGACTCCAGTGCTGCTGAGTCCATAGTGAAGTGGTTGCAGATAAGCAAAGCTTATGGAGGGAATTCTCACAGGATGGAGCCATAGTGAGGTGGGGTGCATAAGAAACAGCCATAGGACTGTCCAAAATCTATTCCTGGTGTTGCAAGGAAACTAAGATTACACAGCTCTGTTGATACTTGTTCAATTACTCACTTTTAGCAAGTGGTATTGATAGAGGCATTTCTGCTTCTAGCATAGGAAAACGACTAAGGCCCCAGGCTCCAGGATATGAAATTTTTGATTAGTTAAAATTCTAGTTCCTGTAAGTTATATTTAGGACATCTTCAGTTTTCTAATAATAATCTTTACTCTATTTCTCTTTTTTGTGAGCAGCTGACTTGCAAATGAAGCCTATCTCCTTTGAAAAAGATGATGACAGTAATGGACATATAGATTTCATAACAGCAGCATCAAACTTGCGAGCCAAGATGTACAACATCGAACCAGCAGATCGGTTCAAAACAAAGCGCATTGCTGGAAAGATTATTCCTGCCATTGCAACAGCTACTGCTGCAGTATCAGGGCTGGTGAGTAAGGTTTTAAAAATGCATATTTCTTTCTCTGGCATATTTTAAAATGCATATTTCTTTCTTTATTATTTCTTGTCTAACACTGCTGTTGTCTGCATATCAGTTAATGCTACCCTGACAGAGCCTCACTTAAAGAAATGGATTTATTTCTCATGTATCAATACAAAAAGTTGTTCTTGGTTTTAGATGCTGTTGTTGAGGAATGCATTCAGTGCAGGTAGCTGGGTGTGCAGCTGCAGTGCCAGCTGCAGATTGTGCTCTGGGTGGCAGAGGCCCAGGCAAGAGGCTGTGAACTGGCACTGACCCTTTGCACAACAAGAGACACAGGGAGCTGTGGCCCAGCCAGGTGACTGGACACTCAGAGACACAGCGGGAGCTGAGGACTCAGCTGGATGACCCCAGACTGTTGAGCACACAAACTGTGAGGGTAAAAAAGCCTAGGTAGTCCTTTGTTTAGGGTCCCTCCCTGGAGGCACCAGCTCAAGCTGTTATTCTGTTGCTGCACTGTGATTAAAGTCCTAAAGGAACCAAATGTCTGAGACTCTGCTATGGGAAACACAGGGTCAAGCCAGTAAGGAAATCTGGTCTGACTGTTTGAGTCTGGTGTGTAGGGAGTCAAGCAGGGCGCACATCATCTCATGGGAGCTGCCCACTGCGAAGCAGTCTTGGTCCCAGCAGTGAAAGTCTCTGGTGGTGGGAGTGTGACTGCCAGAGTGGCTCATGGATGGTCAGGCAGGAAAGTTTCCTTAACATGGTAAGCCTTCAGTGCTTTTATTTTTGATTTGCTGGACATAATTTATTTCTGTGGCACAGTGGGCTCTGTTTCTAGATGTTATTTACTCTCCTAGTTGGACAAAGACTGATCTCATGAACAACTTTCTCTCAAGTTGCTGGCCTCTTAACTGCACTAGTGTTGATAACATGGTACCTAAAACCTAGTAAGTAAATTCTTGTTTACTGCAGGTTGCACTGGAACTTATCAAAGTTGTGGGTGGCTACCCTGCTGATGCATACAAGAACTGTTTTCTGAACCTAGCCATTCCCATAATGGTCTTTACAGAAACTGCTGAAGTAAGAAGAACAGAAATCAGGTAGGCAGATCAATGGCAGGAGGGCATGGGCAGTATTTGGAAACCTGCTAATTGATGCTTAGAACTTGCTAAGCCATTATAACAAGTACAAAGTTTGTATAGTTATTAAAACCAGATAACCAGATTAAGTTCTTATATGCTCACATGGCAGAGCTATGATGGAACCACAGTTCATGGCCATACTCCAATTAAACATTATAGATATTCAAGGTTATTTTTCTGTTGTTTAAACTTGGAAGATGATGGATCATTTCATGCTTGCTATCAAACTGTTATCCATTTACTACATACTGCTAAAGGTATATGTGATCCTGTTAATACTGCCAAGGGTGTCCCATAATGCATTGCTCAAGAATTTCCTGTTTGGAAAATGCAGCACATACTCATCTGTCCTAATTTAAAAAGTAGTGGGTTTAGGGGCCTAGTTTTGTTTCCAGTGGAAGCTGTTACTCATGAGGCTTTAAAAGTCTAGACGAGTTAGATGTGTGGCATTGTTCTTAAGAAACCACTTGGGGGCACTTTTGCCTCTTATTCAATACAAGAGCTATTCTTCAGTAGGTCTGAAAGCTCATTGACTTCATTTGCAGGTATCGTGTTTACATATCTTGGTTTTTAGCAAGGTCAGAGGGCTGGAGAAATGGCAGCAGAGAAGGAAGAGATTTTTGCCCAAGATAAAACAGCAAGTTGCTAGAAGTCATGGCAGTTCTTCCATACAGATTTAAAGGAAGTGCCTGAGTTCACATTCTGACGTAACAACTGTTCTCTTTTTCAAACAGAAATGGGATATCATTTACCATCTGGGATAGGTGGACAATTTATGGGAAAGAGGATTTTACTCTGTTGGACTTCATAAATGCTGTCAGAGTAAGTTATCTACTGTACTGGGATATATATATAAGAGGAATATATATATATATATATAAGAGGAAAGGGGTTTCTTTGTTTGGGTTCTTTGGGTTTTGTTTTGGTTTTTCTTTCATCAAGTTATTGTTCAAACCAGAATAATTTTAGTAATAATAACTGTCAGTGGGAATGTTTCCAAGTAAGTGCATCCAAGCCTATTTTCAAATTCTTTGTTAATTCAATTGGATTGAATGCATCTTAATAAAACTTCTGTCAGTGTCCATGCATTAGCAAGTTCTCTGGTTGGGATCCTATGGCTTTGAATAAATAGTTGTAATACTAGCAGCAGTACTATCTGCTGGTTTGGGCAGCTGTTCTAGTCCTTTAATAAGCTTTAATTTGTGAATTCCAGGAGAAATATGGAATTGAACCAACTATGGTTGTACAAGGAGTCAAAATGCTGTATGTTCCTGTGATGCCAGGCCATATTAAAAGATTAAAGTTGACGTAAGTATAGCTGGCAAATGGATCAAGGGATGCAATTGCACATAGAAATTATGTTCATTGGTTGTATCATAAGGACGTGTGTGACAGCAGTGTATCCTCTCAAAGTGGTTGCTAGTCATTAATGTTTTGGGAAGAAAAATTAGAAATTATTTCCTTTGAAAAGAAAGTGAATTAACTTCTATGGTGAGGAGACTTGAAAAATGCTGCTCTAACTGATGAATGCCAGAATGAGAAAATAAGTAAGTCTGACAGTAAGTTGGGTTTTTTTGGGGAAAAAAAATGTACCTTGGTTCAAGCAGAACAAGACTAATACAACCTTTTGAAACTGGCTTAAAACTAATGCTGATATTTAGTAACTTAGCTCTAAAAGAATGAGAACAGTTATTTCTGATGGAATTAGTACATTGCTTGCAGGTCAAGATTTCTGGAAGTCTGTTCAGTTCATATTAATTCCTTGAGATTCCAGCTCACTTTAGCCCTTTTAAGAATGATGACATTCACAAGGAAACGGAGTGCTGCTCATTGTCAGAAAATCGAGGTATAACAAACTGGAAGTTTGGCAGGATGTGAGGGCAGGGCATTGTTTTTTGACAGATAGACCTTTGCAAAGTAATAGCCAGATCTCACCCAGGTTGATTGAATTACTGTGCTGGTGTGCTGGTTTGAAAGCAAACTGGTGAGAGACTCCGAGTCAGAAGTACAATTTAATATGAACAACACAACAACAACAAATGCAACAGTACAAACAAAACAGAAGAAAAACACTGATAGAGTCTGAAAGTAACCTGACACTCAGTCAGGGTGTTAGTAGTAGTCCGATTAAACCGTGGCTGCAGTCGTCCTGGAGTGATGGGTTTGTTGGAGCAGTGATCCCGCAGATCTGGTTCTCTCCTGAAGGTCCAGCAGCAGCTCTTGTCCTCTGGGAATCCAGCAGGCAAAGGGCTCCCTGTGCTGGTCCAAACCCCGGCTTATATCCCTGTGAGCATGTTTGGCTCCCCACCCCTGGGGTGAGTCACCTCACCATGGGACAAGGCGATAAGGGTCACTGGCAGGATGTGTCATGCATGGGTCCTTGGCAGCCCATTAATCAGAGACAGCCCCCTGAGGGAGCCATCAGGGACAAGGCTATGAGGATCACTGCCCCACCTGCTTTAACAGCTTGTGGAGACTATAGAATACATACCACTGGCCACCCCCACACTGCAACCCAGGACAACTACTTTAGCTCAAAATCTGTTCCTTACAGCTCCTCTGAAGTGTGTGTGGGTCAGTGCTCACAGGCTTTGCTGAAGCAAGTGGATGCATTGATCAGTACTGTTTTGAAGGCCTGCCAGTAGGTAATGTCAGGCAAAGTAGTATGGGCAAGACACTTTAAACTCCCAGGGAGAGAAGAGCCTCTTAAGTTGGTACTACCTTTAGAGTGCCTGGCATACTAAGATAAGAATTTACAGCCTGTCTCAAAATAAATGGTTTATATTTCTTTTCCTATAGCTGTATAAATAATTTTGAATGAGTGAGGTATGTGGTGAAGTCAAAGGTATGATGTGAAGCTGCCTTCTTGTGAATATTAGGATTTCTCACTACCCTGAGACTGGGGTCAAGCTTTCCATGTAGTTGCAGCAACTTTGGGTTCTGTTATAAACAGTCCCAAAAGCTTTCTAAGACATTAGCACAGCAAACTCTGGTCTTGCTTGTGGTTTCTTTTTTCTTAAGTTTTTAAAAATCTTTCTCTTGCTGTAATATGACAAGTGTTGCCAGACTCTCTTCAGAATGGCAGCATTAAGTGGTAGCATACTCCTTACAAGCAAGTTTACTGCCTTGCTCTGTAGCTCCAAGCTTCCTCATGCAGATGAATATGACCTCAGAAGCTCTGCTGAGAAGAGGCTAATATTTTGTGTTCTTCCAAGGAAAGAAGTACTTTGGGGAAAATGGCTTTTTTATCTGCGCTCTAAATAGACCCACAAAGGAAATCCTTCCCTAGGTGCCCTGTGAGGAATAGAAATGAGTGACTGTATTCCCCCAGCCTCCTAGCATTTGAGCTGGCTTCACGAACTAGTGCGCCAGGTTAGCAAGAAAGTAATTTTGAACCACCCACAGATGTGGTGAAAGTGAGATTGTCTGACCTACTTCAGTATTCCAGTGTGCAACTTCCAAGCAATGGCTGTATCTTTTGAGACTGCAGAAAGCAAAGGGAGAAAGTTACACTAATACCTGACATGCTTGTGTAGTTTAAACTCACTTTGTGGTCATGAATAAAGAAGTCCCAGATCTTGGCTGTTTCCCCCCTCCCCATCGCTTTTCACCTTTGAAATTCGTGGACCTAATGTCTTAACCCCAACAAAATTACTTTCGATCAGAACTTATTATCTCGTGTCTGCACTGGAGTGTTTTTTCCTAATGTATTAAAACCAGCCTTTATTGGTAGACAGAGAACTTACTCCTCCTCATTGACCGAAATCCTACACAGAAAGCTAACTTTGTTTTGGGCCTCGATAGGATGCCAAAGAGAAAATGTTTCTGAGGAATCCCATCCAGCACTGGCCATGTGCTCTTCTGTTTTCTGCTGAGCACTTGATGGTGAGCAATATAATGGCTCACTAATGGGCTATGTCTATCAAGAAGATGGAATACAATTTGCTGTACCTCAAGTGGAGGAAGAGGTTTTGTGTTAAAATTTAAAGGTTGCTTGTTCTCCTTTTTAATTTGGTCTGTATTATGCTGGACCAGTATGTATTGCTGACAGTGAAATTCATCCTGGATTTGCCCTGAATTCCCAGTGCCAGTCCTCCTCCTGGTATGTTAACAAGCTGTTCTTCATTTCTCTGTAGGATGCAAAAGCTTGTGAAACCATCAGCTGACAAGAAGTATGTGGATTTGACAGTATCATTTGCTCCGGAGACTGATGGAGAGGAAGACTTGCCAGGGCCACCAGTGAGATACTACTTTGTTCATGAAGACAATTGATGGAAGAGACACAAAACTCACTCATGGACCATTTGTATGAAAGGAGTGTGCTAATTTTCAGCTATTAAAGATGGTACTCTATATTTCTTTTTGGTGAAGCCTTAATTAAATGGTGAAAATCAGTGGCTTTGCACTGAAGACAAACTGGATTTATGTTTCTTCTGCTTTTGTTTTCTTCAAACCTGTTCACTCAAAGGAGGATTGGTCACTCCATGAAATGGAATGTCCAGTACAGACCTTACCTTAAAGACAAGATTAGTATTGATTTGTGGGGAGCTGAAGAAAGCAAGAAGAATGGTGAACCTAACGAATGGTCCACATGTGCAAATTAGGCACTGCTTAGAGAAGAGTGCAAAAATGGTGAACCCACCATTTTATGATACTCCTGGTGTTCTAAGAACATCTCAAATTCATTTCATATGTTACTTAATTCTCAAGCAAAGTTTTCATTCTTGCCATCTACATATGAGATTTAATCCATACAAAAGGCATAAACTCCCACTTTAAAAGCAGATGAACTGCTTTATTGTGTGGTTGGTTAGTGAAGCTGTGGCCAGAGCAGCTATCTTGTGTCAGTCTCAACATGGAAATATAGGGAGTAGGTATAAATTGTCAAAACTCCCCTGAAGTCCAGAGAGCTGGAATTGTTGATTATCTGCACTGAGACTGTTCTTTGTGGAATACTGCAGTATGGGCAAAGTGAAAACCTATCGGAGAGCTGAATTAGCACTTTCAACAATAAAATTCTGTCTTCAAGAAAGAAAATGTGGTTGAGCCTTTCTGTACTCACCAAATTAAAATCACTGTACCACATGATGACTTTAAAGTCTCTGGATGCTTGCATAGCAAACGTTTTCCTCAGCTGCTCCTTTTGGTACCATTATTAGCAAATGGTTGTGCTGTACACCTGTCAACAGCACAAGTCTGGGTTGCACTGAACACTGAGGATTTTATCACCACTGGTCAGTAACTAGGATCTCAAAGCAGAAAGATTCTGCTTAACTGGAAATCATTAGGGGCTAGCTTTGCTGCTGTGGTGAGGCAGAGGTGTGTTAAGAAACCTTATCCTTTAGCTCTATCATTTAAACACTAGATAGCTGAGCTGGCAGTTCTTTTTTCTCCTCATCATGGTAGAGTGAGGTGAGCTTAGAATAAATACATGTAAACTGGAAAACCTTTAATGTGTTTAAGCTTTAGAGACTGTGATGGCACATTATCTCCTACCACTCTTGCAAAAGCTATTAACTACTTAGCTATTTATCCTCAATCATAATTTATTAAGCTTTAGGGATATCTTCACATTTAATGAACATTATTGGTCAGGAATTTTACCTCTCGTTTTCCCTTCTCAGTTAACTGTAGTCAGAAATGACAGCTATTAGATTGGGAACTTGAACACCAAGATGTATAGAACTAAATAGCTGGAACCAATACAACTATCTCAATTTGTTGGGATTCAGTCTTATGTGCAGGATGCCTTCTGGAAGGTGTACATTGTTCTACAGTCTGGTTTATAGATAAAATTTCCTAGATTAATAATATTCCTTTTTAAAGTACCTAACTTCAGTTTTGTAAGAAGTTCTTTAGAGAAACTTTATGAAAGAGGAAAAAAGGTGATTACATTTAGAGTGCAGAGGACGCACAAGCAGACAATAAGTTTCCGCTTCTAAATAACAGCTAGAATGTATTTCACGGTGGTAGTATTAGAATATGAACTCTTAACTGGAATCACTCATTAGTGCTAAGGATCACTTAAAGATTTAGGTCAAGTTGAAAGCACTGTCACCCCTCACAGCTGGAGTCTAGGAAATGAAACTTTGAGTAAGTACACTCTGGTACATTAGTGTGGTGTTAACATCATGCTTATGTTTTCGAAATAAGCAGCATATAAAAAAGTCTCAGTACTTTGCTAGAGTGCCATCTGACTGTCCTCAGGGCTTAAAGCAAACTTTCAGCTGTAATTGATGCAATACTTTTTATTAATTACAACACATACAGCTTTGAGACCCTTGTCCAAAACGTCCAGGTTAAGGCTGCTAGGGATCACAGCCAGAATTTACAGACATGGCTGTAACTCTGTTCTGCTCTTACTGCGTGTATCTGTTGGATGGATGTCTGTTCTATGAATGGCTTCTGCTCAGTTAAAAAGTTGCTTATGGAAAAACAAAATGCACAATGGCTCTAGATCTTTATTAGCAGACCTTTAAAATTCTTTGGATATAAATTAATCTAGGTAAAATCTGACAATAACTTCAAGAAGACTTTATATAGAAGAACTGTGCATGTCAAGTGGCTCATTAAACTTGTCTATCATGTTTTAAAATTTTTTGAATTGCTGGTGTGGCGAGTGATGTATTCATATTGAAGGTTGTGCAGTGTGAGTTGATTCAGTGTGAATTTGTGTTTGATACAGCCCTTTTCTAAATCTGTTCCTGCCTTTTATCAAGTCTAGCAGGTGCACAGGTGAGTGATCACACTAAAAGAGTTCAATCAAGCAGGTGGTGAGGAAACAGTGGGTGCCCTGCTTGTCTCCCTAACACACCCCACTCACCCATAGTCAGAGCAGGTTTCCTTACTGGTTTGACCCTACGTTTTCCTTAGCAGAATCTAAGGCGTCAAGTTCCACAAAGTTTATTCATGGTGCAGTAACACAGCAACAGCCCGAGGTGGTGCCTCCGAGGAGGAACCCAGCTCCAAGGCCCCCTGGCCTTTGCATACCCTCACAGACTACCTGCACATAAGTCACCCTCTTCCTCCTACGTCTTATGATCTTGCTCCCTTTTTGTGCGGATCCTCATCTCAGCATGTACCAGGAATGTTTGTGTATGCAAGCCACAAGGCACTTAGCATCCACCTCAACTGTTTTCTCTGGTTAGTCAGCCTGTTTGTTTAATGTCAGGAGTAGTGAAGATCCTCTGTGAAGACTTTGCTACTGTTAAAAAGACTGCTTTGGCAGGCCTGATAGATTTAGGCTTTATTTACCTATACCATAAGTAAAAAGTAGACGTTTTCATCTTGTTTTACCACCCTTTTCCTATGTAGCATGAATATGTAAATGTTTATTAAGAAAAACAAAGCTCTTCAAAAATAGTGATTACATAGAAAGAACAACTTTGGCAAATGCAGGAACCCTGTCACCATCGTTGCATCTCACATCCTGAAATAATGTGGGTCTGAGCTAGGCAGAGAGCTTGTATATCTGACTTGTTATCAAACACATGTAAAGATTTTAGATAAGTTCATGATCTTCATGGACTTAATTTTTCCTTGTGTCTTTGAAACCATGAGACTGTAGGCCAGTCCCAATTAATTATCTCCTGTTTTGCAATTATAGAAAGCATACCTGCATCACAATGCAGCAATCTAAACCTTTGTCCAAAGGTTAATACATTTCATAGACTCATAGAATCAACTGGG